GCCACCAGGGATACCCAGATTTAGATCTTTTGATTTCAAATCTCCTGTTCCTTTTACCATATGCCAGACAGGAAATAGATGACCACAATCTCCTAAGGAGAACTGGCATTAACATCTGAAAGCAAAATTCCCGGTGACAGAATGGGAGCACAGGCAGGGAGGATGGCTTAAGGTAAAGAAATTTGAACTTGGAAACTCAATTCCTGGGTTTTAATTTGTGTTCTTCCACTTACAAGCTGCTGCCCATAGTTTTATTATTTAAATGTTGGATCTAATTACACTCATTCTGCATACATCACAAGTATGGCTGAGGTAGAATCAGAGAGCACACTGCCCTGTCACTCTCCAAAGCATGTTCTTGGTTCCTTCTTGTCAGTTTTTAGAAACCCTATTACAAATATTTAATACAACTATTTGTATTAATTTGTATTAGAGGTGTGCAGTAAGTATTTGTACTCAGAACTCAGTGTTCCAGAATCTTAATACTTAACCAATTTGCAATACTGTCTCCATTTACATAAACTGGTAAATGCAGAAGAATTCCTACTTCTATAGATCCTAAAATAATGCAGAATAATGCCCAGGCTAAAGGGGAAAGAGAGGTATCAACAGTTTGTATAAATCAGTTGTATTTACTTTTTAAACAAACATTTGTTTCTGTTGCCAAATAGTACCTTGGAGAGCTATAAGAAGTGATTCATTTCTCAAAGGCGATACTCAACACTGTCAAGGTGTCCCTAGAAACAGTAGAAACTTTTGACTCATATAAACAATCAGCTTTAATCCCTGAAATGAGAATATGTTTCAAGCAAAACAAAAGTTACTTATTTTTTAGTTAATACACATGTACCTCTGTAGTCATGAAATGTGGAATGTGAGGGATAAAGAGCATGAAATCGATGGCATGAATTGATTACTCTTTTTTATTATTTGCATAGCTTTGAAAGAAATATCTCTGGGAGACCTAAGATTATTTATAAATGACAACTTTTTTAGTCTGTTCACTCTATTCCACTCTGAAAGAAAGTATTCACATTTTAAATGCACTCTTGCCCACAAGGAAGATATTTATTCTCTATATGTGTATATAAATATAGAGAGAGGTTAATTTGTTTGTGGAATTAAGTGATTGTAACTAAGAACGAATGAATTCTGTCCCGGTTTCAACCTATTCTATGATTACTGCAACAGAAGTAGAAGTTCTTGGTTTTATTTTTGTGTTTTAAAAAGAAGGGAATATGAACCTGTCATGCCTCTCAGGTGTCCAGTTATGAGAACCTTTTTGTTTACGTGCCATCCTATTGATAATACATAATTATTAAAAATTACTACGTGCTGTTGCATTTTTAGTTCTGCCATTTTCACTTGAATGTACATTTTGAGGAGTAATTTCTTTTGTGAGTGGCATAATGTGTTTGTGTTTTTCTTCCTTTTGTTTTGTTTTTTTTAGGTTTAGGTCTAGCCTTCAACCTGCAACCCGCCTTAACAATCCTTGGCAAGTACTTCTATAAGAAACGGCCTATGGCGAGTGGCCTCGCAATGGCAGGAAGTCCTGTTTTCCTAAGTACACTGGCTCCTTTCAATCAGTACCTCTTTAATACTTATGGCTGGAAAGGAAGCTTCTTGATTTTGGGAGGTTTACTGTTGAACTCCTGTGTGGCTGGGTCCCTTATGAGACCTGTTGGACCCAAACTAACTACTAAGAAGTCTAAAAGTAAGGTTGGTGTAAGAGTGACTGATTCGGGCATGAAGAAAAGACATAGGAAGAAATCAATATGTGCAAAAATTGATAAGTATTTAGATTTCTCCCTTTTTAAGCATAGGGGATTTCTGATATACTTATCTGGAAATGTCATTATGTTTCTGGGGTTCTTTGCCCCCATTATATTCTTGGCTCCATACGCTAAAGACAAAGGAATTGATGAATATTCTGCAGCTTTCTTGCTGTCGGTTATGGCTTTTGTTGATATGTTTGCCAGACCTACTGTAGGATTCATTGCAAACTCCAAATTAATCCGACCCCGAATCCAGTACTTCTTCAGTTTTGCGATTTTGTTCAATGGAGTGTGTCATCTCTTATGCCCGTTGGCTGAGGACTACACAAGCCTGGTGATATATGCTGTATTTTTTGGCCTTGGATTTGGGAGCGTTAGCAGTATCCTCTTTGAAAGTCTCATGGACCTTGTTGGCGCTCAAAGATTTTCCAGTGCTGTTGGTCTCGTCACAGTTGTGGAGTGTTGCCCCGTCCTTCTTGGTCCTCCTCTTGCTGGTAAGAATATTTCTCATCAGGGAAAGCAAAAAGCATAAAATTAATATCCATTAACCAAGACTTTCTTTGTAGTGTAAAATGTGGTTTGTAATAATAGATACTAATTGCCTAAAAGACTGTGGTGTGTTGATTTTAGCCTTTACTATGTGTTTTTAAATTTCCTAATTAGTCTATTTTAGACAAAAATTTCATTCATAGCCTGGAGTTATGAACTTAAGAATTTAAATTAGACGGATAATTAGCATAATTTTCAGGTTTTTACCTATATCAACTTGTTTTGTGTTTTTAAAAAATGTATCATAAAAACAAAATTCCACTTTATTTTATCATTGATAAACAGATTTCTCTTCTTTTTTATTAAAATGAGTCAAAAATTTGAAGTAATGCCCTCAAAAGGTCAAGATCTGTTTTTTTTTTTTTTTTTTTTGCGGTATGCGGGTGTCTCACTGTTGTAGCCTCTCCCGTTGCGGAGCACAGGCTCTGGACGCGCAGGCTCAGCGGCCATGGCTCACGGGCCCAGCCGCTCCGCGGCATGTGGGATCTTCCCTGACCAGGGCGCGAACCCGTGTCCCCTGCATCGGCAGGCGGACTCTCAACCACTGCGCCACCAGGGAAGCCCCTGTTTTCTTATTGGTTATATTAATATGGAATTTGTTACATGCTTAAGGAAGGAATACTTTTATAATATCACTAATTGGAATATATGAATACGAATGCAAGAATGAAGGGAAGTTCATTCAAGGTCATTTTCTTGATCAGATACTTATATTCCATATTTTTAACAATTACCTTTAGATTTTAAGATGTAAAATACTGTCAGTGATGCCTATAAAAAATCTCTATGCTAAATTATCTAGTAAGGATACTGAGTAAAGACATATGTATAAGTTCATTTTTGAAGTTAAGACTTTGTTTAGTCTTAGACTTAAATGTTATAAATATTAAATACTTTTTGTTGTCCAGTCTTTTTCAGTAATCACTGTATAGCATTGCTTTAGTTAATGCTAAATGTAGGTATTTACTTAGACCTCTTGGCCTGCCCCCTAATGGTCACAATAATTGCTGGGCTAAACATAAATTTTTTTCGTGTATTTAAAATCAGTGTTTAAAGTCTTCCTACATGACATCAAGGAATCATTTTGAAAGTGGGAAAATTCATGCTTAAATTGTTAATCTTAAGGCACCATTAACATTTACCTTTTGCTTTTTCATTTGGTCAGGAATGAGTGGTATAGTTGTTGACTTTTTCTGTCCACCAGGACTATCCTCTGGTATCTAGTACAGATGCTTTGGATGGTATATCTCTCATTGTAGATATGCCAGGGCACCAAAACAATTTTCAAAGTGAATGAAGCCAGTAGGTCTTATTCATTTTGGCCAATATATGCCTATCTTTTCATACAGAATTAGTTTTACCAAATGGGTTTTAGAAGCCTATTCATTACCAATAAAATTCTTAGTATCAACAGAGAAAAATTTATTTCACCAGCCATGGTGGGATGAAAAAATATCAAGTCAGGTCAATAGGCATAGTGGATGGGTGCTATGGAAATGAATGAATCTGATTTGGCCATTTCTACCTGGGCTGAGACCTATTTTAATAATATTTACATCAATTTCAGTATCCTTGAGGGCTTATTTTGTTAATATTGCCAAACTATTGCACCAGTGGTATCAGTGGCAGTAATTGATTTGGGGCTCATTGTTGAAGCTCTCAGGCTATAGCCATAACAGAGTAGCCTTTTTTTTATCCCGTTTCTGCCTTCTGTTATCCTGATATTCCTTGACTTTTAGACTGGCTTTTCCTCTATAGCATTCAGTCACTGCTAGCATGGCATCTGGCATATAGTAGGCACTCAATAAATACTTTCGAATGAATCGCTGTTGTTGCAGTTACTTCTTACACAGTTGCTGCTGCTGCTACTAGCCTTGTTAGTACAACAGTGAAAGGCAGGGAGAGCATGAGTTTTATTTTTTTCAACTCAAACTTCCACTGCTACCTTCAAAAAGAGCTGAAACTTTAGTTCTGGAAATCATATCTGCTTTCTTGATGATGCTAAAAATTCCCAAAACATTTAGAAACTATGTTGATTTGGCAATACAAAGTGATGATATAATTCTGATGGGGCAAAAGACCTAATGTTTTTGTATTTAGATATGTAATAATCATTGTATGAATAGGAATATTTGACTAAAGTTAGAATGGAAAATTAAATTACACAATTTTTGTTCTGTTTTTTATGTATATATCGTACTTACTCAAATTAACTCAAATAAGTCCATTCTAACATTTACCTAATTAAAGCAGAAAACTTTGTTGAAGTAAATAATTTCACAAGTAGCTAAATTTAATAACAAGCCACTAACTAGATACTTGTCAGAGTGATGGAAATTCTTTTTTTTTTTGAATTTTATTTTATTTATTTTTTTATACAGCAGGTTTTTATTAGTCATCAATTTTATACACATCAGTGTATACATGTCAAACCCAATCGCCCAATTCATCACACCACCATCCCCACCCCCCCCAAGGCTTTCCCCACTTGCTGTCCATACGTTTGTTCTCTACATCTGTGTCTCAACTTCTGCCCTGCAAACCAGTTCATCTGTACCATTTTTCTAGGATCCACATACATGCATTAATATACGATATTTGTTTTTCTGACTTACTTCACTCTGTATGACAGTCTCTAGATCCATCCACATCTCAACAAATGACCCAATTTCGTTCCTTTTTATGGCTGAGTAATATTCCATTGTATATATTACCACGTCCTCTTTATCCATTCGTCTGTCGATGGGCATTTAGGTTGCTTCCATGACCCGGCTATTGTAAATAGTGCTGCAATGAACATTGCGGTGCATGTGTCTTTTTGAATTATGGTTTTCTCTGGCTATATGCCCAGTAGTGGGATTACTGGATCATATGGTAATTCTATTTTTAGTGTTTTAAGGAACCTCCATACTGTTCTCCATAGTGGCTGTATCAATTTACATTCCCACCAAGAGTGGAAGAGGGTTCCCTTTTCTCCACACCCTCTTCAGCATTTGTTGTTTGTAGATTTTCTGATGATGCCCATTCTAACTGGTGTGAGGTGATACCTCATTGTAGTTTTGATTTGCATTTCTATAATAATTAGTGATGCTGAGCAGCTTTTCATGTGCTTCTTGGCCATCTGTATGTCTTCTTTGGAGAAATGTCTATTTAGGTCTTCTGCCCATTTTTGGACTGCGTTGTTTGTTTTTCTAATATTGAGCTGAATGAGCTGTTTATATATTTTGGAGATTAATCCTTCGTCCATTGATTCGTTTGCTAATATTTTCTCCCATTCTGAGGGATGTCTTTTCGTCTTGTTTATGGTTTCCTTTGCTGTGCAAAAGCTTTGAAGTTTCATTAGGTCCCATTTGTTTATTTTTGTTTTTATTCCCATTAGTCTAGGAGGTGGATCAAAAAAGATCTTGCTGTGATTTATGTCAAAGGGTGTTCTTCCTATGTTTTCCTCTAAGAGTTTTATAGTGTCCGGTCTTACATTTAGGTCTCTAATCCATTTTGAGTTTATTTTTGTTTATGGTGTTAGGGAGTGTTCTAATTTCATTCTTTTAAAGGTAGCTGTCCAGTTTTCCCAGCACCACTTATTGAAGAGACTGTCTTTTCTCCATTGTATATCCTTGCCTCCTTTGTCATAGATTAGTTGACCATAGGTGCATGGGTTTATCTCTGGGCTTTCTATCTTGTTCCATTGATCTATGTTTCTGTTTTAGTGCCAGTACCATGTTGTCTTGATTACTGTGGCTTTGTAGTATAGTCTGAAGTCAGAAAGTCTGATTCCTCAAGCCCCGTTTTTTTCCCTCAAGACTGCTTTGGCTATTCAGGGTATTTTGTGTCTCCATACAAATTTTAAGATTTTTTGTTCTACTTCCCTAAAAAATGCCATTGATAATTTGATAAGGATTGCATTGAATCTGTAGATTGCTTTGGGTAGTATAGTCATTTTCACAATATTGATTATTCCAATCCAAGAACATGGTATATCTCTCCATCTGTTGGTATCATCTTTAATTTCTTTCACCAGTGTTTTATAGTTTTCTGCATATAGGTCTTTTGTCTCCCTAGGTAGGTTTATTCCTAGGTATTTTATTCTTTTTGTTGCAGTGGTAAATGGGAGTGTTTCCTTAATTTCTCTTTCAGGTTTTTCGTTATTAGTGTATAGGAATGCAAGAGATTTCTGTGCATTAATTTTGTATCCTGCAACTTTATCAGATTCATTGATTAGCTCTAGTAGTTTTCTGGTGGCATCTTTAGGATTCTCTATGTATACTATCATGTCATCTGCAAACAGTGACAGTTTTACTTCTTCTTTTCCAATTTGTATTCCTTTTATTTCTTTTTTTTCCTCTGATTACCGTGGCTAGGACTTCCAAAACTATGTTGAATAGTAGTGGTGAGAGTGGACATCCTTGTCTTTTTCCTGATCTTAGTGGAAATGCTTTCAGTTTTTCACCATTGAGAATGATGTCTGCTGTGGGTTTGTCATATATGGCCTTTATTATGTTGAGGTAGGTTCCCTCTATGCCCACTTTCTGGAGAGTTTTTATCATAAATGGGTGTTGAATTTTGTCAAAAGCTTTTTCTGCATCTCTTGAGATGATCATATGGTTTTTATTCTTCAATTTGTTAATATGGTGTATCACATCGATTGATTTGAATATATTGAAGAATCCTTGCATCCCTGGGATAAATCCCACTTGATCATAGTGTATGATCCTTTTAATGTGCTGTTGGATCCTGTTTGCTACTATTTTGTTGAGGATTTTTGCGTCTATATTCATCAGTGATATTGGTCTGCAATTTTCTGTTTTTTTAGTATCTCTGTCTGGTTTTGGTATCAGGGTGATGGTGGCCTCATAGAATGCGTTTGGGAGTGTTTCTTCCTCTGCAATTTTTTGGAAGAGTTTGAGGAGGATGGGTGTTAGCTCTTCTCTAAATGTTTGATAGAATTCACCTGGGAAGCCAGAATGATGGAAATTCTGACTAAACAAATAGGTGTATTTCAGAGTCACCTGGAATATGCATATGATAAGTAATATGGATTTGTGTATACTAAATTTTGCCAGTATTAATTATTGTTAAGAATTAGATGCCTGCATAAGCAAGAGGCAAAACTGAGTATAAACAGTATAAACTGAAGCATGTTTAAAAGTCAGTAAGCTTTGCAATTATATGGTAGCAGGCTTGGTTTTCAATGTTCTCAATATCAAATGGAACAAAAACTTTCTTCCTGATTAGTTTGGCCTTAATAATTTAGATTCAGACAAAGTGGAAAACTGTGATTAGCCTAAAAAGTGACATGACACTTAACCAAGAAGTTTGGTGAAGCCATTTTACAGAGTAGTTAAGAATACAAGATGCAGACACACTGGTTAGAGCCCAGATCCTGCCACTCACTCACTGGCTGCGTAACCATGGTCAAATTACTGCGTAGTGATCTTGTAAGGATTAAATGCAAAATTACAAATAAAGCATTTAGCCTAGTGCTAGGCATAGACAAAGCATTTAGTAAATATTACCCCCACTAGGAACCTTATAAAAGCCTCTGAATTTGTCCTAAAGAATGTAATTTTTCCTCTTTATCGAAAAGATAGTAAATGTGGAAAGGTTGAAGCAATCTCAATATGTATGCTATAAATCTATTCATATATATGTTTACATTTGTAAATACGTATTTCTACACATGTAGGTTTAAAAATGTATCTCACACATTTATGTATCTATGGATATATACACAAACACATATATACCTAGCTTATCTTGGTTGTACACTTTTATTGAGGGTAGTAATTTTCAATAAACTTAATATACTAGTAATATAATGCAGAATGTGCCTGTAAATGCCTTTACTATGCATATGTGGAAGTCATAATCTAGAATATTTTTTTCTTTATTAGACTCTCATTTAGTATTAACTTAAATAAGCAATAGCTATGCAGTGTGGAGAAGAATTTATTTGCAAATGTTAACATTTTATGGCTGATTTATTATGCTGTCTTAAAAGACATTCTTTGTCTCTTAGGTAAATTGGTGGATGAAACTGGACAATATAAATACATGTATGTGGCCTGTGGAGCTATTGTAGTCCTAGCCAGTGTGTGGCTGCTCATTGGCAATGCTATCAACTACAGACTGCTCGCAAAGGAAAAGTTGAAAGAGACAACGAAGAAAATACATACACCTGAGTCCCAAGAAGCTGAATCCTTGAAGGCATCTAAAAGTCATGATGTTAGTGTCAAAAGTCAAAAGTCAAAAGGATCAGGGGTTAATCCCTCAGAAAGAGAAACTAATATTTAACAAGAATCACATCTCTGATTTCAGTGTTTATGACTTTCTTAGGAGTATTTTTTTTTTCAACATATTAGAAGGTTTTTAGTTGAAATGAGGAGTCATAAGTAAGTATGGAAAAGAGATTTTCCTTAATGGCAAAATTTTAAAAAGTTTGTTTTTTAAAATTTATTTGGGCAGTTAAATTTTGAGATTATGCATATAAAGAATTCATGCAGTGGGCTTATGTCCATACATGACTCTGGCTGCGGTGGTTAAAATGATGTTAAAGTCTTCCATTGACTTCCATCTTGGTTGTAGAGATCTGAATCCCAAACCACTGGGTTAAGTAGTTACAAGGAGTATGTTTAATCCTGTAAGACTATCCTCTCCACATTTCATTTTTTATTTGATATTAAAGGGTGAAATGGAATTGAAGGAAATGAATTTTTCCCAAACATACACACACTGACACTCACACACTACTTTACAGTGTGGATTTTAAAGATAAGAACATGGGTGAAAATGAGGGTGGCCTTAATTTGAAAATACAACTAACTGCTGCAAAAAAAAAGCATATGCCTATATGAAATAAATTTGAAAAAACTCCATTTTAAACTATTATTTCTGAGCATTGTCTGATGTGATTCATGCATGCACGTGATTTCTTTGAGGAGGACCACAAGTACCTGGTGCTAGTGAATAGAACCCTCAAATAATTTTCAGAATTTACTAATATGTAAATCAAATTAAAAGCCTAAATGACTCCTAGCAATGAGCTGTCTATTGATTTTAAAAGGATTTTAGTTAGTAATCCAGAAAGTTAATAACCAGGGACTTCTTTTAACCAAACTCAATTCAGACTCGCTGTTATACTGAGACATCAAAGTGGAATCAACCGGAATCCTGGTTGACAGGCTTACACATAGGCAAAATTTTAATTTTTCCCAACATATAGTGGTGATCAGAGGGTTACTGTTATCAGTAATCCATCTGAGTAAAGCTAAGAGTGGGAGGTGTTTATAGTGAGCCCTCCAAGCTCTCTCATTTCCCTCTCCTCCATGACAAGCAAAAGCAAAAAACAGAAATCCAAACAGGCTTTTTACTCAGCCACTGAAAGTATCTCATATTATAGGAAAGGTAGCACTTGAAAATTCCACCCTCTACCGATAAGCTTTCCTGCTGCCTGCGAGCATAACTAAACCAGGAGACTTAAAAACGGCTTCTAGAACTGGAGGTTGTGTATGATTTGATATATACTTGGAAAGTGTAGATTTAGTTTATAACTTAAGAGGAAGAGGCCTGCAACATGCAAACCCAGGTTAATTTAGCAGTTTCTCATTTTCATAACTATATGAAAACATTTGGGACTGAATCACTCTTGAATACAGAGGCATATGATAGATCTGTGCATTCAGAACTATAAATACCATTTTGAGTAAGTACTTTTAAACAAGAAAGAATTTATACATTAGGTATAAAGTTATAAATATTCACCTTTATAAATCTGAAGTTTAAATTAAGGTCATGATTAATAAAAAGAATTTAGTTCTTGATTATTGAAGTAATGTCATTCTTAAGATGTCAAAAGGAATTTGCCGTTCTTACTATTATTATTGCAATAGAGGCAGGTGCTATTCTTATTTCCTTTAGGATTGCACTTGGATTCCAAGCATTTGTGATAGTTAACACTAGGGATTTGATTTGTAAACTTTAGGCACTGTTTAAGCATGTGGCTCATGTTTTATTAGCAAGCTATATAAAATTCCATACTTCAATTAACATTCACTTTTTTACATAAAGGTATTTGTATTTTTAAAATATTAACTAAAGCAATATGTGCCAATACCATAGGTAAATAAATCAGGGAAAATGTGACAATATATATTTGTTCTTAATTTAGTTTCACCCAATCCTGAGTCTTGAATGAGCTATTTTCATATTATTAGTGTTTGTATTCAACTGTGACTTGTCATAAAAAGTGTGACATCATAAATTGTTCAGTAGCTTTCCAATCTTAAATGTTTCCCAAAAAGTGCCTTGAATTCTCTGAAGATACACATTTAAATTAATATAGATAATAGACCTCTGGGACAAGTAATGATCATGGGGTTTTAGGGCTAAGGCATAGTCCTTTTTATCACCTGCTGGTGGGTGCATTCCAGTGGCTTTCTCCATGGAAGGAGGTTTATTTACTTGCTGATGAGGTTCTTGTCAAGTCAAAACCAATTTGTATTTGTTCTATTGCTCTTTGATCATCTTTAACTTTTCATTCCTAACACTGATTATATTAAATTGTTAAAAAAAGAAAGGGAAGTGAAACTGCACATTCAAAGCACATGACATGATGTATACAGTCATGCCTGACAGTAGCACTGCACAAAGTTACAAATATGTATGCCTCTTAATTCCTATACATAAATGTTGAAAGTTAAATCACAACACACTTGAAACAGTGATATAAACTCACACACAGTTTTCAGAATTGTTTCAGGGTAAAATAAATGTTTCAAGTTGTTTACTGTCCCAAATCCCTTGAACTTGTTAGAATATTTGTTGCTTGAGCAGAATCTTTCAGAGATTGAGAAGAAAATATCAACCTAGAACATTTATTATTATAAAGTTGCCTAAACGAAGGAGAAAATATAGTTGGCTTTCTCCAACAATTAATGATTAGTCAGAAAGTATTTCTTCCCCAAGGGAATGACAGGTTATAGATGATCAAGACACCGTGAAGCAAAGTCAGAAACCATTAAAATACCTTTCAGTCTATTTTTCTGTTATGGAATTGTGCAGAAGGAAGGTTATCATAAATCTGGGTACCAAAATAATTCATGATCACTGGCTAGTTTAAGTATTTTTCCATTTGTGATAACAAGACTCCTCGTATTTTTCACCATTTAATCTTAAATGTTCCTTCACTAATTTATGAATGCAATATGGGATATAGACATGTCCTGACACATGCCCGTCCTCTTTCTTGATCCTTTTTGGAGCCAACCAGCACACATTTAAGAGGCAGTTGGGTCAGGTTCTGGTGTCCTTCACATTGGAAGACAGGATGTTTTCTCAGTGTAAATTGACATGGCTCATAAATTTCACTTCTTTAGTACCAAGTTCTAAGCACCTTATCTCATGGGTCTCCCCTGGACACTAGGAAATAAGTAAAATAATTCGGTTTGATAGATTTGAATGTACACTTTAAAAATCTAGGTATTTTTTACTCATCCGTCTCTGGCTGTACATGGCAGAAAAAAAGACCATAAGACGTATGCTGAAAATGTAAGTTTTTATATTGATGTTATAAAATGTAGAGATATACTTAATCAGTTAGTTGAAACTTATTTTCCATCCAAAAATACCTTTTAAAAAAACCCTCTTATATGTACAATGTTGCAGGCTTTTAATAAAACAAAATAATCATGATTGTTAGGCTCAAATTAATAGGGAAAAAGGATGTGAAGTGGGAAGGGAATGGATATTTGTTTCCTGCATTTTGCCTATTTGATATTCAAATAGAATCATAGGTAGAGGCTATTGGCCTGATATAATAGATGAGTGAAACAAAACAAAAAACAGATATACAAAGAAGTTCACAAATTACCCAAAGTTAAAAGGTAGTATGTGACAGAACCAGAAGAAAAACTCAGGTTTACTTAAAAGCAGAAAGAGCCCCTAGGGTGTTCACTGCCATGCCACCTCCCCCTAGAAGCTGTAGATACAATGGTAGATAAAATATAGATACAAAAAAATTAAACACTATGTGGTAAACCAATTAGATTCAACTGCAATCTGTATTATGATTTATTTAGTGTTTATTAGAGACTGCATTTGCTATAAGCTGAATATATAATTTCAATTTGCCTGCTTTTCTAACCAATGCAAATTATCCCAAATAATGGTAATCATTATATAATAGCTGTAATTGCTTCACTGTGACTTTTTTCATAAAAATAATGAAATATTTATATGACTCAGGCATAATATATTTTCCCTGAGGTTGGGTTTAGAGGAAAAATGCTATTTTCTTTATGGATAAGTAATTCCCATATTAGTTGCTACTTATTATGACTCAAAAATAAAAAGTACTTACTATGAAACATTATGTTCAGAATTATAGTGACTCTCACTTATAGGATTATCCCAAGCTACCAAAAATTTGTAAAAATCTTAGGAGATACAAAAGATTTGGTTCATCTACACAGTATATATTTATTTGCATCACTTAATGCAACTGCCACTACACTGTAACTAATTTTTCAAGTTTCCTGAACACCTGGATTGTTATTCTCCTTTCTGTCCCTTTGTTCTACAGAGAGAACAAATGCCATTGCTTTTGTCTTCTTCTTCTAGACTTTTGGCATCCTTAGAATATTGTTCTCTTTAGCTCTGTTTCAGATGGTGCACTTCTAATGTCATACATCTTTCACAAAGTCACTCATGCTGCATCTGGTCCTATATATTGGGTTTGCAGCAATGACCATGTTCCTGGAGTCATCAGTGCATACTTTTGGCTAAGACCACTCATCTTCACCAGTAAGGGAACTCATGTGACTGTAGGCTTGAGGTTTCCTGGATAAGGAGGGTGCTTATATTCTAGAAGAGTTTTTGTTATTAAGAATCTTCCTTATGCATGATAAATAGATAACTGAATATGACTTTTAAGAATCTAGAAAAACCGATCTTCCTGTCCTTGACATTTACTATTCTGGATGTTTGTAACTCTCTTAAAGTGCCTGAAATCTTGAGAAACAAATCTTACCATCACAGCATAGCATCATTATATGTCATCCTGTAGGCTCTTTCAATGCAATTACATCACAGATACATCATAACAACTAGATTCTTGCTATGACAATTCACAATACCAAAGAGCATCAAAATCATTGAGATAAAAATTGAAATTACAATCTTTACTCATCCTACTTATTTTTTAGGTTTTGATTTCTACATATTTATATGCACGATCTCACATTTGAGAAATGCACTTAAAACCTGAAAAGCCCAATTATTAGTAATTAATTATAATCTTGTATAATCAAAATCACAAACTATCTTTATTGATAGTTTTTAAAAAATGAATAATTTGCTGAGTTCACATTCTTTTTTGTAGTTCTGATTTTCTCTTCTTTGTTATCAAATTGTACACTTTAGGTTTTAATGCTTCACGAGGTCCTATGATCTGGTCTATCTTAGTCTTCTGCTTTGCCTTCACTTTAGTTCACTTATGTTCAGTTCATGAAAGAATTATTATAGCAATGAGAATCATAACTTTAGGTCTCTACTTTAAGAGGAAAAGGAATATTGAAAAAAAGAATTTTTTACTTTAGTGGGACATATGAAAACTTTTAGACCAAATTATTTATCCCATCCCAACCCCATGCTATGTACCTTCCTCCCCTCCTTTTTTTTCCTATGCTTTTTTAAATAATTTTTTAAAATTATTTTTCTTTCATCATTTTTCATAATGTCTAGGCCAACTTCTTTAGCATTTTTTATCTAATTATGGACATTTTTAGTGCAGCATTTTTGTTTCCTTGGTGGGTTTAGTTATAGCTCCACTACTTGCATAATCTCCATGTTTTTCAGTCTTCATGTGTTATAGTTAATAAGGTGAGTAATATTCAGGAGTATTTCAGTAGGCTATGATTCTGTGACCATAAATTCATTACCATATCAGCAAATATTTTTCTTCACATGGTAAAAAAAAATTTTTTTTGTTTCAAATTCAAATATGGCAAAATAAGCTAGAGAGCTCTGTATGAAAACATTGGCATTCAACATTCTATTAAGACATAAGTCAGTAAAAAGTTCTGTTCAGATGAACAAAAGAATAGGATTCTTATTGAGTATGAATTTCAGGGTGAAATTTTCAAACATATTCTGTTTTATTCTGAGTTTTTAGTTGTTTTACATTTATATGCATCTTAAGAAAACGTTTTTAAGTTAGACTCAGTTTATATAACTTGTTCATTCGAGTACAAGTTTCTGATATATTATTTAATGGACTTTATTTTTCTGCCACATGCTTTCTATTTCTAACTAAAGCATGAATATTTCTGGATTTAGAGAGAGAGGACATGTAAACTTTATTTTCTAAGCATTATATGTAATTGTGTTTTGATTTGTATTGCATTTTGGCTTTGATATATTAAAGTTAGGTTTGTTAGATATCTGCATTTTGACAGAATAAGACTAGAGCAGGTAAGGTCTTTGCCTAAACGTATACATGTCCTCTGAGTAAATGCAGACTTGGAAAGAGAACCAGGTCTTTTAACTTCTAACCCACTTTTTTTCTCCATTAGCCATCCTATTTGTAATAGTGAACTCTATAGGCTAAATACATATTTCTTGGAAACACATATTCTAATCTTGATAAATCCTTTATTTCCAAAATGAATACATTTCTCCTAATTGAATCATCCTTTGCAAAATGATGTTTATAAATGTAACTTGAAGAATATTTGCTGATTCCCACAGCAGATAATTCTAAGTGAACTGGACGTAATAACTACTGGGATGAATGATTTTGCACAATATCTGTTGTTATAGCAATATGTAAGTCATTAAAATAATACTCAGCAGTAACTTGTTTATAGAATCCATGTGTCCATATTCCATTAATTCCTTTTATTTTGCTTATGTTCATATTTTGTTTTAGAAGCATCATTCAGTCACTTCTTTTCTAAAAGTATAATGCCAGAGCACAGAGTGTGCAATACAAGTTTGCTAAATTATTAATTTGTGAGAAATTTTCGCTATTGTGTAACCTTGAGGAGAAGGGAAGACCCCAACCATATTTTTTGATCTAAGAATCTGAGGATGAGTTAATAGAATAGAATAAAATCTATCTCAAAAGTTCTTGCTTTTTAAATGGTCATTTCACCTAAATACTGAAATCTACAACAGGTGTCTGGCAACAGTAAGGCTACAGGTTCTTTTATTTTAGAGATACCATCTACTTGCAGCCCCATCTTAGCTAGATCTTATTTCTAGATTTTTCCCTTTTGCTTTCATTCAAAAAAAAACACTCCTAAATAAAATCCCTGGTGAAGGGAAAGAGTGGTTGCTAATAGGAATTCACTCTGTAAAAGTGTAAAAACAGGAATCTGTACTCAGTATTTGTTTGCTTAGTTCATCAAGGATATTTACACTAAGAACATACTTTAATAAAAGTTTTGATAAACTGATGTGTCACAGTAAACTTTTTCATAAAAAGGGCCTTAAACACACAGTCAGTGACATGTCTGGATGTGTTTAGTTAGATTCAGCTAAACTGACATCCAGATGCTAAATGTGCATTGTCATTGTGATGGGGGGGTGGAGTCTGTAGCTACAGTGAGTACATCAACTTAATAACATAAGATTCTTTCTTCGTAATGATGGTAAGAATGGCATTGCACATTACTTAGATATTAGGCATAGAAATCCCTCTTTTGAAGATGGAAGAGCAGGATCTTTTCAAATATTTGCTAAACTTTTACATTCGATTTGAAGCTTTTTATTTAAAAGCACGTTCCTCCAAATATTTTAAACCAGCATGTTGGTTAACATTTCCTAGAATGAATAATTCCCCATTTTTAAGGAATTTTGGAAAACATTTCATTTACTACTTATATTTCTTCAACACATGTTTTTTCTTATACCATTATTACATTTGGGCAAATATTAAAAGTAACATTATTGGGATAAAAGTTATACATAATGACATGTTTCTAATAAGACAGACATAAAGCATTCCTTGGCAATAGCTGAACTTAGATAACTTTTGCAAGAAATCTTTAGGGATTGGATTTAGGGGTTAATCTATAGAATTATTTTTTAAATATAAATTATATTTTAGGTTGTATTTTTATGATTTTTAAGTGAAAAAAATTTAAATGTAGTCGATTTGTTTGTTCTGTAGGCATCTTCAAGACCACTGAACAAATGGTCACACTGTCACGTGGTCTATCAACTACAATTACTATGTTAGTGAATTAAAGAGAAAGGTAGCTTTGCTTGACACCAAAGGTGATCCAATCAGTTGTTTTTACATGACCTAAATCATCACTGTACATATTTCATTTTCTTAAAAAAATCAAAAAGGTATAAAATAATTAATATAAATGCCTGTCAAAGTTTAAATATAGAACCCTCTTCTCTTTGCCTTCTTACAGATGAATGTAAAGTGACTGTGATTTGATCTTGGAATATATATTTATGTTTGTACTTTTTGTACATGTAGTAGTTCTGAACTGGGCAAATAAAATATGTGGGACCAAATTAACCAAAAATGAAAGAACTGGTATTTTCATACAAATATGTATTTTGTTTTTAATATAAATATAGTGTACATTTATTTAAATCAGGAATATATTATATTGTTGATCATTTAAAAAGTTTATTTAATTCAGTATGTTCCGACTTCATTTTTAAGCAAGCTTGTTTGACTACTGAACCATTTACTGCCGAACTTTCGTTTATACTATGATGTTATACGGACAAAATGTTTTAGAAAAATCTCTATTGTGGTCTTTAAGTTTCACTATATAACTAACTTGGAACCAAATGTTGAATTACTCTGTGGGAGTACATATTTTGCCTGTGGTTTTGAATATATTTTCAAATTTATCTATTTCTTACTAGACTGTGAGCTCCTTGTGGACAAGGATATTATCTTAGTTATAATAACTTTAATGCCTAGCAAAGTGCTAGGCACAAAATAAATCCTTAATTGAAATGAATTGATGGACCTAGATTATTAAATGATTACTACAGTATTCTATGATGGAGATTGAATATATATTAGAAAATTTCTCTGGCTAATTTTCAAAGGCTCAGTGTATATCAAGGGAATTCTCTAGCTAATTTTGAAAAATGGGGAAAACAAACATGTAACATTTGCTTTATCTTAAAATTGATACTCTGTTTTGAAGGTTTATTTTTATTTTGTCAGTAAACATTCTATGCAAATGCTGAAATATGCAACAGCTAAACTTCATGGTACATATTAACTAGTTTTATTTTCTTTAGAAAATCAGAAATGCTCAACTTAGGCTTCCTGGAAATAAATGTTGACAATCATTTTATTAACCAAAGGTGCTACTTGTTTTCCAATATTTACCTTGATCATAAGTGCTCCTGTCTGCTGAGCTTTATTTCTTCCTTTCTGGGGGGAGTTGCGGGGAGAGGAGTGCAAAAAAAATTACATCTTTTTTGTCTGAATTATGCAATTTAGCACTGTATGTGTTCCTTTGTACTCTATTATTATTGTATTTTAATTATTATTTCTTACTGCTCACTAATTTTTATTTCAGGCCTAGGCTGTTTCTTAGAAAGTATATGCATGTATATTTATATAATATGTAAGAAAAAAACCTGTATTTCTTATTAACTTAAAATTAAAATGACGAATAAATGTTTATGTTAAACTTTGAAATGAAATCTGCATTGCTTTTTTTTTTGAATGTACATAACCGATTAATGTCAATGGAAGTCAGACACAGCCAAAATGCAAGCCATTCCTAAGGGCTGAAATGAATGTCTATTGTTTTCACGTGTATACAGTTTACTAGATTTACACAGAGGGGACACATTCAGTTCAAGAAGAGAACATTACCTGCACCACAGAAGTTTCCCCTCAAATCCCTTCCCGGCCTGCTCTCCCTCCTTTAACTTTTTAATAGACTTTAGTTTTTAGAGAAGTTTTAAATTCACAGCAAAATGGAATAGAGATACAGAGATTTCTCATATATGCCCTGTCCCACACATGCATAGCCTTCCTCGTTATGAGTGTCCCCTTTCAGAGTGGTACATTTGTTACAACTGATGAGCCTACATGGATGTGTCATTATCACCCAAAGCCCAGAGTTTACATCAGGGCTCAGTCTCGGTGTTGCACACTCTGGGTTTGGGCAAATTTATAATGACATGTATCTACCTTTATAATATCATACAGAGTATTCACTGTACTAAAAATCCTCTTTGCTCTGCCTCCCTCCCTGGAAAATGTAGATAGGGTAACATTTGCATAACAACCAAAAGGCGGTGAAGGAATAAGACATGCAGATTTCCGAATGAAGAACATCGCAAGCGAAGGAAACTGTAAGGTGTGAAAGGTCTGAGCCAGGATCATGTCTGGCAAGTTCAAGAAAGGGCAAGATGTTCAGCCTCACTGGAACAGAGAAAATGAAGGGGAGACACAGTAGATGAGATCAGAGAAGGGATTAGGGATTGATTTTAGAGACATACTGGTCAAAGGATTTTGACTTGTACACCGAGGGATAGTAGCATTTTTTAATACTCATTTTTCATCAAGATAGAAGACGAAAATAAGAAAAATAATGCAACTGTAGAAGAAACCTACAACCAAATCAATAGTGTTCTACCATCTCCCTCTACTATACTGCCGCACTCCACCTGTGGTCTCTGTTCCAGTTTACATAGGTCTTTACCAGTCTATTTTTAGTATCTAACCCCCTAGTCCATTTTCTCCAATATGTCTAATCCTCCAGTCCATTTCCCCTTATATTTATTCACATTCTAGCCAGATTTCTATCAAATCACTGTCACTTTCCAAACTTCTTAATAAATCCTTTTATAATTACTAAAATATAGTCACATGCGTCTCTTATTTTCATAAATCTACCAATTTTTTTTTTGCCTCATGCTATTCCATAAGCCTGTTTTTTCTCATTCCTTGACCTCATGAATTCCTACTTATAAAGGTCCAGTAAATGTTTTTCAGTTACTGACGTTTACTATAAGAATATTTACTAGACTTTTATTAAGATGCAAGCTTGAATATACATCCATACATATGCATCTAATTCCACCCGTTCTAAATTCTAAATAAAGCTGTCAATACACTAAGAAAAATAATCTACACTTGTACTTGAAATACGGAAAAATTATGTAAACATGCCAGAAATTAAAATTTCTTCTAGATAAAGGGTAGAATGGCTATGTGCAAAATGCATAGGAACATTCCTGATGTTTGCTCCCTATCAAATATCCCTTACTCCTTTAAACAAACTCCTACCTTACTCATTCCTTAGAGTAGATATCAAGCTCACACTTTTCCATAGACTTTCATCTCTTGGCTAATAATCATTCTGGTTTTAGCCCTTTGTTAAGTCACTATTTCCAGACTCTGACTTTTTTTTTTAATCAGCCTTGAGATACATGACCAAAAAAAAAAAAAAAAGCCTATATTTAAGGTGTACGATGTGATGTTTTGATATACATCATGAAATGATTACTACAATCAAGCTAATTAATATATGCATTGGCTCACATAGTTATATTTTGTGGTGAGAATACTTAGGATTAACTCTTAGCAAATTTCAAGTATACAATATGGTATTTTTACCGACACTCACCATGCTGCACATCAGACCTCCAGAACTTATTCAGCCCTCAAAACTGAACCCATGCACCCTTTTAACAATATCTCCCCATTTTTTCCATCCCCCAGGCCCTGGCAACTATCATTCTATTCTCTGTTTCTATGAGTTTGAGTTTTTTAGATTTCACACATAAGTTAGATCATGCAGTATTTGTCTTTCTCTTTCTGCCTTATTTCACTCAGGATAATGTCCTCCAGTTTCATTCATGTTGTCACAATGGCAGGATTTCCTTCTTTCTTGTGGCTGAATAATGTAATAATGTTCCATTGTATGTATACCACATATTCTTTATCCATTCATCTGTCCATGGACACTTAGGTTGCTTCCATGTGTTGGCTTTTGTGAATACGCTGCAATGAACATGTTTATACAGATATCTCTTTGAGATACTGATTTCATTTCCTTTGGATATATACGTAAAAGTGGGATTGGTGGATCAGGTGGTAGTTCTATTTGTAATTTTTTGAGAAATCTGCATGCTGTTTTCCATAATGGCTATACCAATTTACATGCCCACCTACAAAATACAAAGCTTCTTTTTTTTCCACATCCTTAATCAGCACTTGTTAACTTTTGTCTTTTTGACAACAGCCATCCTAACAGATATGAGGTGATATGTCATTGTGATTTTGATTTGCATTTCCATGATGATTAATTATGGCGAGCACCTTTTTACATACTTGTTGACCATGTTTGTCTTCTTTTGAAATATGTCTATTCAGGTTCTTAGCCCATTTTTTAATTGGGTTAATTTTTTTTGTTGTTGCTATTGGTTTGCTATTGGGTTAATCTGATATGAACACCTTATCAGACATATGGTTTGCAAATATTTTCTCCCATTCTGTAGTTAGTATTTTTATACTGCTGAATGTTTCCTTTGCTGTGCAGAAGCTTCTTCATTTAATGCAATCCCTTTTATCTATTTTTGCTTTTGTTGCCTTTGCTTTTGGTGTCATACCCAAAAAAATCATTGCTCATACCAAGGGCAAGAAGATTTTTCCTTATGTTTTCTTCTAGGAATTTTACGGTTTGGCATCTTAAATGCAAGTCTAATCTATTCTGAGTTGATTTTTATATATGGTATAAGATGTGTGTCCAGTGTCATTCTTCTGCATGTTAATATCCAGTTTTCCCAACACCATTTATTGAAGAAACTATTTTTTCCACATTGTATGTTCTTTGCAACTTTGCCAAAGATCAGTTGACCATAAATACATGGATTTATTTCTGAGCTCTCTAGTCCAGTCAGTTTAAAACATAGAGCATCTCTTTCTAGTGGTTCCCTCATAAGCCCTGGGATTCTCTTTTATCGCATGAATCTGGGTCATATGCTCATCTTTCAACCATTCCCTGTATCTAAAGCAATTTGTTTGTCCAGGCTAAATCTCAATGCAGTCTTGCCTCTTCTCAACCTTTTTGTCTGGGTGTGAGTGTAGTACATTTTTTCAGAGGGAATCTGAAATGCTGTACTGAAAAGGAGAAGATGCTGGGTAGGCAAAACCAATAATGGCTACTGTATATTAAAAACAATTGATGACTTCTAGTTGCTATGTTTGTATTGATTATATTTTTTCATTTCTAATTTGCTTTCATTGCGATAACTGATGCCTCATGAGGTTCGAATTAAGAACATTATCATCATTATTATTATTGTATCAACCTTCTTGACTTCTGTATGAAAGGCACACTACTAAAATGAAGTTTGCTCACTACCTGAAGCTGAAACTCACGTAACTATTTCCTATTTTAAGGAATAACTGATTATAAAGCATAACTTTATTCGCTATCACAAAGTTAAACTTTCACACTGTATTTCACTCTTCAAGCTTAATTACCAACAAGAATATCTACTTCAAGAAATTTTCCGTATTTTCTTCTTTATAAATATGGTTTATACAACTTTCATTTTAAAATTAAGAAGTCAATTTAAAGCTTGAATTTGTTAAGTTTTTTTTTTTTTTTTTTTTCCGGTGTGTGGGCCTGTATCAAATTGCCATGATGTACACGTTAAATATTTTATCATTTTATATGACAATTATACCCAATAAAGCTGAATTTTTAAAAAAGAAACAGATGAAATATGATGTATGCTTTTGTCCCCAGGAAAACTTTCCCAGTCACTTTTAGACTGAGTTTTGCAGAGACCAAGGTGTCTTTGCAGGCAGTAGAGGAGTCACTTCTGGGCCAAAGGAAGTCCAAGAAGGTACTTACAAGACCAGGATGCTCTTTACCTGCTTCCATCCATGCAACTATTTTTTGTTGGAGGAGGATGCATCTACTATTGTATTTGAAAAAGATTCCACTGCTTTAAATAAAAGTTTGAAGACCAAAAATAATAACAATAACCTGAAATTCCTAACAATTGTATTAACCATTTCAGTTGAAAGTGATTGAGGCCCAACTTGATCCAGTTTAATTAAAAAGAAAATTTATTGACATGACAGCATACACAGCTGAAGGAAGACCTGTAGGTATGAGGGTATCTCTGACATATTGAAACCTGACACTCTCAGCATAACTTGTCTCTCATCTCTTCTTTTTTCTGTGTGTATCTTCATTCTGTCTGTGTTAGACAGGAGTGTGCTTAGGTGTTCTATACACACAATTCTGACCACAGGTAAAAGAGATATCCCTCATCCCCTACACATGCATGTGTACACAATACCCCCAACTCCAACACACAGGCATGATAGTTGCAGTTAAAAATCCAGGGGAATGATTCCAATTGTCCTTTCTTGGGTTATTATGCCCGTCCTTGGACCAATGTCTTGAATCTATTTTACGAATATTCCAACTTGGGTCACATGGCTGCCCCAGGGATTGGGGACCAGGTTCTATTATCAGAAGGAGGGAAAAGGACTCTTGGGCAGATAAAGACAATAGGCACTACAATAACCAAAGAAAAAAGATTGATTAGAATAATTTGAATAATTGCTTTAATTCCTTATTTATTTTTGCTTCCCTCTGGGCCAGAAGTGTAACAAATTATTTAAGTACATAACAAGCTTTGGAGTTAATGAGGGCAAGACATGAGGGGAGTGAGCATGGAGGGA